CCCACCAAATCCCGAAGGAGAGCAAGAAACTAATGCTTGTTGAAAATTTAGTCGATTATTTATATTTGTTAGATGCTAAGATAGGGTCTGGTAAAGAGAGTTCCAATCGGTTTCATCTTGAAATACTTGTCAAAAACGCAAAATTTTTTTAAATCGATGATTATGAAAAATAAGGGATTCGTAACATTTGAGGTTAAATCTTCACATTTAAAATTTTTGAAGTTCAACTCATTACAACTAAATAAAAAAATTCAAACATAAAAAACATCATTTAGGAAAAAAAATATATCTCAAAAAAAATTCCAAAAAAATTCATTCAAAAAGAGATGTCAGCTAATTTGTTTTATTTCATGGCATAGGCCTCCCTTTGTCAATGCAAAATTGTATTTACTTTGCATTTTTCTATCTGATTACAAAAGTATAAAAAATATAGCTGATACAAACATTTTAAAGAATTTGAAAAATCAATTCAATTTAAAGAAAGTCAGCTTACTTTTCCTTTTCAAGAATAAACTTTCTTTCGTCAAATCCAAATTGTGTAAACCAAGCATTTTTCAATTTTAAAATTGTAAATAAAGCTGGTTCAACATTTTCTTAAGAATATGAATGCTTATAAACTTAAAACGAAGCCTCAATAAAATGTCAACAGGGGCGCAAATGTAAACAAAACTAAAATTTAAAAAATATACATTTTGTGAACCAACTTGTTTGGTGACAGTGGGAAAGTATTTACATTGTGTTAAAAAAGAGTTTTTACCCCTGAAAGTAACACTGGCACAAACTCAGCATTTTAAATCTTTAGTAAAGCCCCTTTCATGCTATAAACTAAGATTTCTTTATGGCATATATTATCCCAATCAACCCATCGCCCCCCTCCCTTCAGGATTAATTCAAAAATAGGATTTTAAAATCTTAAAACTTAACTTCAATATTGATATTTCGTACTAATCCAAATATGATTCTTTTCTTCGAAATAAAATTCAAAACATTTTCTGAAAACTTTGTAGTTGTA